CTTCTGGCTCCTGCCTTTGGATTGGCCCAGCTCTGGCCATTGTGTTCATCTGGGGAGTGAACCAGTGGGATGGAAGACCTCTCTCTCTGCCTCTGCTTCTCCATAACTCTGCCTTTCAAATAAATAATCTTTTTTTTAAAGTTACAATAAAAATTTTGTTAAGATTTATTTATTTATTTATTTATTTGAAAGGCAGAATAACAGAGAAAGAGAGAGAGAGCGCACACGCACGCTTCCATCTGTTGGTTCACTCCCCAAATGCCTGCAACAGTCAGGGTGGGGCCGGGCTGAAGCCAGGAGTCTGGAACCCTCTTAGGGTCTCCCACATGGGTGCAGGGGCCCAAACACTTGGGCCATCCTCCACTTTTTTTTCTAGGTGCATTAGCAGGGAGCTGGATCAGAAGTGGAGCAGCCAGGACTCAAACCGGTACCCATATGGGATGGTAGCCTCACAGGCAGTGGCTTAACACGCTGTGCCATCATGCCGGCCCCAGTAGGCATTCTTAGCCGCGTTCCCTTGGGCTCCTGTACACCTGAGGTGGAATTCCTTATCCGTAGGGCCTGGACATCTTCCGTTTGGGGAGTCTGTTAAGCTGCTCTCCACTGCGGCTGAAATGTGCATCCTGGCTGCAGTGTGAAGACCTCCCGTTTTTCCATCCCCCTCTAAAACTTGGCATCAGCTGTCAGCAGAAGTCACTGGTCTTGTCACTGTGGATTTCCGTGGCTTTTCTGGCCGTGAGTGTCCACGGCACTTCTTTCTCTTCTCGTGGTGGTCGGCACCGCCATTTGTCCAATGGCCCTTTGTTCCTGGCTTTCAAGGGAACAATGCCCAATGCTTCACCATGTAATGGCTATTCAGAATGTTCAGGAAGATGCGTGTGAACAAAAAACTGTGCCTGGATTATCAGAATTTTTGCATCAAAGGAAACTTGCCTCTTAATTCCATTTCCACAAGCTTTTTTTTTTTTTTTTTTTAAAGATTTATTTGATAGGTAGCGTTACAGATAGAGAGAGGGAGAGACAGAGAGAGAGGTCTTCCATCCACTGGTTCATTCCCAAGTGGCTGCAATGGCTGCAGCCAGGCTGATCAGGAGCCAAGAGCTTCCTCCGGGTCTCCCACGTGGGTGCAGGGGCCCAAGCCCTTGGGCCATCTTCCACTGCTTTCCCAGGCCATAGCAGAGAGCTGGATCAGAAGAGCAGCAGCCAGGACATGAACCAGGGCCCATGTGGGATGCCGGCGCTGCAGGCAGAGGCTTCGCCCGCTGTGCCATGGCGCCGGCCCCTCCACAAGCTGCCTCTTGCACCTTGCATACAGTGCTGCTTCACCATCATGTACAATTTTTGTGTGGGTTGGGATTTTCAATTTTGGTAGAACTAAGAAATGATTCAGTTTTTGGAAGGGTTTTTACTTTGTTTCCCTTCAGTTTCCTTAACAGATATGAATATTCAGTTTATTTCTTTTTGAATTAATTTCAGCATATATTTTTTCTAGAAAATTGTCCATTTTATCCGAACTTTAGGTTTACTGGCATAAAGTCGATCATTTTCTTCCAGAGTTTGTCATTTCCACTGCACCCATAGCTGCTCAGGGTTTATTTGCTTGGTCTCTCCCGAGGCTCAGCTTTATTGTGTGTTTGTTTCTCGGTCCATCAGCTTCCGCTCTTCCCTGTTAGCTCTCCTGCCTCCTCTTCCTCTGGGTTTAAACTGTGATTCCTCTTAAAACTTGGCACTCATTGCTCTTCTGCGTTTCCTCTAGTATAAGTAATAATCTTCTAAATGCTGCTTGTGTTGCTCTCTACCCCCCAGTTTTTATGTTTTATTTATTTATTTTTTGACAGGCAGAGTGGACAGTGAGAGAGAGAGAGACAGAGAGAAAGGTCTTCCTTTGCCGTTGGTTCACCCTCCAATGGCTGCCGTGGCCAGCGCACTGCGGCCGGCGCACCGCGCTGATCCGATGGCAGGAGCCAGGAGCCAGGTGCTTTTCCTGGTCTCCCATGGGGTGCAGGGCCCAAGCACTTGGGCCATCCTCCACTGCACTCCCTGGCCACAGCAGAGAGCTGGCCTGGAAGAGGGGCAACTGGGACAGAATCCGGCGCCCCGACTGGGACCAGAACCCGGTGTGCCGGCACCGCAAGGCGGAGGATTAGCCTAGTGAGCTGCGGCACTGGCTTATGTTTGTTTTGATCTAAATATTTTTTTACTTCTAAATGATTTCACCTTTAGAGTTACAAGGAGGTTTAAGTTTCCAAACATTTGGAGTGTCTTTGGCTCTTGCCTGTGGTCGAAGAATACGGCCTGTGTGAGATTCACTATTTGCTATCCGTTAATGAGATTTGTTTTGGTCACTTTTTGTAGATGTCTCTTATATGATTCAAAGAACCATGCTGCGATAAAGGTCCTTTCAGCATCTCTGACCAGCATTAGTCATTGTATTAATATCTTCTAAATCCTTTGGGCGTTCAGTTTATTGGTTACTGTAAGAGGTATTTAAAGATTTATTTATTTATTTGAAAGTCAGAGTTACACATCTTCCATTTGCTGGTTCACTCCACAAATGGCTGCAATGGCAGGGCCTGGGCCAGGCTGAAGCCAGGAGCCAGGACCTCCTTCAAGGTCTCCCACATGGGTGCAGGGGTCCCAGGTCATTAGCAGGGAGCTGGATAGGAAGTAGAGCAGCCAGGACTCAAGCTGTGCCCATACAGTATGCCTGGGCTGCAGGCAGTGGCTTAACCCACAATGCCACAGTGCCAGCCCCGTGAAAGAGGTCTTAAAACTCTGCCTACAGGGGCCAGTGTGTGTCATAGCAGGTTAAGCCACCACCACCTACAACACCAGCATCCCACAGAGGTACTGGTTGTTGTCCCAGCTGCTCCATTTCCAATCCGTTTCCCTGCTAATGTGCCTGAAAAAGCAGCAAAAGATGGCTCAAGTGCTTGGCTCCTGCACCCTCATGGGAGACCCAGAAGAAGCTCCTGGCTTCAGCCCAGCCTAGCCCCAGCCACTGCAGCCACTGGGGGAGTGAATCAACAGATGGAAGATCTCTCTCCTATAACTCTGCCTTTCAAATAAACAAATCGCAAAACAACTCCCACTGCAATGGCAGAATTGGCAGTTCCTCCTATTAGTCTGTCATTTTTTTAAAAAAATATTTTATTTATTTATTTATTTTAGAGGTAGAGATTCAGACATTGAGAGGGAGAGACAGAGAGAAAGGTCTTCCATCTGCTGGTTCACTCACTCCCCCAGTGGGTGCAACAGTCAGGAGCCAGGACCTTCATCCAGGTCTCCCACTTGGGTGCAGGGGCCCAAGCACTTGGGCCATTTCTACTGCTTTCCCAAGCTTACTAGCAGGGAGCTGGACTGGAAGTGGGGCAGCCAGGACCTGACCAGGTGTCCATATAGAAAGCCAGCACCGCAGGCCAGGGCTTTACCCACTGTGCCACAACATGGACCCCCCATCTCCCAAACTCTTGAAATCACAGCTTATCAGTATTTTTCCTTTAGAGGTTAGAAGGTACTATTACATCTTTCTCAACTTTGTACACTTAGTGCCGAGAAGTTGGCTGTTGGCATAACGTTTTAAAGTGAATCCATCCTGGCCGGCGCCGCGGCTCACTAGGCTAATCCTCCACCTGCGGCGCCGGAACACCGGGTTCTAGTCCCGGTCGGGGCGCCGGATTCTGTCCCGGTTGCCCCTCTTCCAGGCCAGTTCTCTGCTGTGGCCAGGGAGTGCAGTGGAGGATGGCCCAAGTGCTTGGGCCCTGCACCCCATGGGAGACCAGGAGAAGCACCTGGCTCCTGCCTTCGGTGCCACGGTGGCCATTGGAGGGTGAACCAACGGCAAAGGAAAATCTTTCTCTCTGTCTCTCTCACTGTCCACTCTGCCTGTCAAAAAATAAAGAAAGAAGTGAATCCATCCTTTTGTGGTAGCTTTTAAGATCCAGCTTTTGGAGTTCTGAAATTCACTGCAAAGCTGTCTCGGTGCTGACTTTTTAGCTCGGCTTGCTCCAGGGTAGTCCCCCCCTCCCCCCCGATTTATTTATTTATTTGAAAGGCGGAGAGAAGAGGAGAGGGAGGGAAAAGAGAGGGGAGAGAGGGGAAGAGAAAAATAAAGAAAAGTCTTCCATCCGCTGGTTCACTCCCCAGATGGCTGCAACGGCCGGAGCTGTGCCTATCTGAAGCCAGGAGCCAGGAGCTTCTTCCGGGTCTCCCACGTGGGTGCAGGGGCCCAAGGACTTGGGCCATCTTCCACTGCTTTCCCAGGCCATAGCAGAGAGCTGGATCAGAAGAGCAGCAGCCGGGACATGAACCAGGGCCCATATGGGATGGCGGCACTGCAGGAGGCAGCTTTATGCGCTGGCCCCCGGTCCAGGTTTTCCGTGGGAGCCGTGGTCTTGAGCAGCGTAGGGGGACCCGCCCCTGCTCTCCGCTGCCCTGCTCGGCCGGACCTCGGGTGCTCCCTGCCCCTCTGCCACGGGCCCCCGCTGTCCTCCACCACGGCCTCTGGGTGTTCTGGGCCCCCTCCAGCTCCGCGATGTTCTCTTCTGCTGTCTAACCTGCTTCCTTACCTCATCGTCTGAGGCCTGCGTTTGCACGGCTCGGTTTTTGAACTCTAGAATCCTTCCTCAGACCCAGGCATTGCTCCCCGGCGCCGTGCTTTCCTGGCGTTTAACCGCCCCGTCCCCTGAGCCTGGCTGTTCTCCTACCCCAGGCCTCCCGCGGGCCCCGCAGCGCCGAGGGGACGGGCCGTCCAGGGCGCGAGATGCGGGCGAGGCCGCGCCTTCCCTCAGCCGCCTCACTCCCACCTCGGTCTAAACCGGAGAGGAGCCGCGCGGGCCGTGATGTCACCGAACTGTGACGCGCCCCAGCGCACACAGACCCCAGCCCCTCCGCGTCTCTGCAGAGAATCCAGGCCCGCGGCGCCGTGACGTCATGGTCTGGGCGGGCGGCTTTTGCGTCGGGCCAATGGGAGCGACGCGCCGGCCTCCCCTTTAAGGAATGTTGTGACCTGACGTCACCGGAGCGAGTTACCTCCCGCCGCCGCTGCCGCCGCGTTCAGCGCGAGCCCCGGAGCCCTTGAGCGCGAGGCGCGGAGTCCCCGGAGACCCCGGATCACAGTCCCCGGATCACAGTCCCTTCCTCGAGCCGCGCGCCCCGGAGTCCCGGCTGCGCGCCCCACCGGGCCCGCGCGATGCCCTCAGACAGGCCTTTCAAGCAGCGGCGAAGCTTTGGTGAGGCCTGGCGGGCGATCCGGGGACAGGGGGTGGGAGATCCCTGGGGGGCAACCGACCCCCCAGTGCCGCAGGTGACGTCAGCCCCATGACGTCAGGCTCCGGCCTACCGGGTCTGTGAGGCCGCTCTGGCCTGGGCTGGGGCTACCCGCCTCCCCACCGTGTCCCCAGTCTGGGGCCGAGAGGCCGGACGGCTGGGGGCGGGGGCGGGGCGGGGCCGGGAGCCGCCCCTCGGAGACCGGCGGGCGGAGCCGCAGGGAGGACCTCAGGCCGGCCGGTCTCACCGCCCCGCCGCTGTCCGCTGTCCGCAGCCGACCGTTGTAAGGAGGTGCAGCAGATTCGTGACCAGCACCCCAGCAAGATCCCGGTGAGTCCCTCGGCCCCGGCCCGGCCCGGCCCCGCCCCCAGCCCTGGCTCATTTGTGGTCCACCTGCCCGCTCCCAGGTGATCATCGAGCGCTACAAGGGTGAGAAGCAGCTGCCAGTCCTGGACAAAACCAAGTTCCTGGTCCCGGATCACGTCAACATGAGCGAACTGGTTAAAATCATCCGGTGCGCAGGCAGCAGCTGCCCGAGGGGCTTGGGTCGGGTCTCCTGGAGGAGTGGAGTGAGGTCAGGGGCGTAGGCCTGGCCTTGGGCCTGCGTGCTGGGGAGCTGGGAAAAGCCAAGGCCCGAGCTTGAGTCCTTGTGGGGTGGGAGGTGAGGGCCTCTGGCAGGGAGCAGGGCCACCCTCCCTCACCACGGGTTTGCCCTTCCTGCCTGCCCCAGGCGCCGCCTGCAGCTGAACCCCACGCAGGCCTTCTTCCTGCTGGTGAACCAGCACAGCATGGTGAGCGTGTCCACGCCCATCGCCGACATCTACGAGCAGGAGAAAGACGAGGATGGCTTCCTCTACATGGTCTACGCCTCCCAGGAAACCTTCGGCTTCTGAGCCAGCAGTAGGGGGGAATTGGCCTGGGAGTGGGGGACCTGGTCAAGCTCTCCCCAGGGAGCGCCTGGCTCCTGAACTGAGCTGCCCCTGGTGGGCTGGGCAGGCATGTGGGCCCCTAGCCAGAGGGGCCCAAACAGCCCCCTCTGCTCCTCAGTGGATCTTGGGCCAGTCACATTAGGGTTGCCCCTCTGGGTGCTGGTTGGGATGGGGAGGGTGGAGAGCTGCCCCCAGCACCCCTGCTCTGTGTGGTTTGTTTTTTTTAGGCCCCTGCCTGTCTGCCCCTAACCCCCCGAGGGTTTTGGCCCCTCCGGGAGCCCCCCACCCCCAAAAGCTGGGCCCCGGTCTCCCCCCCCCCCCCCCACATGTTGTTATTTTTTGGCTCCTTCCCCTCGGAAATTAAAAAATTTTTGGGGGCCTCCCTGGCCCTTTCCCTCCGGTTTTTTTTTGGGGCGTGGGGGGGGGGGGGGGGCGGGGCAGGGGCTGCTGGTGCTGTCCTACAGCATGCTAGCCTGCCAGCACAGGCTGTAGACTCAGGGTGCATTCTGAGAACCCACACCTAGGGTAGAATACTGGCAAGTCCACCCTCTCCAGGACTGCGGTTTTGATGTGGTTCCAGATAGACTTCTTTGTAACAAAAATCATTTATTAGGTAGCCACAACCTAACAATCCCTGCTCACCTGCTGCCTCCCCCTTCCTGTCCGGGAGGGGGCTCCTTGGTGTGCAGAGCCACAAAGGGGGGTCTGAGGTACTCCCAGCTTCTCCCCACAGGCCTTGCTGTCAGCCATGGGTCTCCTTTAGAGCCAGAGACTGATGATCCCGGAACTTGAACCTCTTCTGCCCACGGACTTGTCTTCTGGCAACTCCGGATTGAGGGCTTTGCCCAGCATCTGGGCCCTCCACCCCCTGAGGTCTGTGCTGCCTGTGCCCAGCCAGGCCTATTTGAGCACAAGCATGGCCTCTGTGCCGTCCTTGGCAGTCAAGTAGAGGCCATGTGTGAGGTAGTACTCCCGCCGCAGGAAGGCATAGAAGTAGTCAGAGATGAGCATGATCTGGGGGGAGAGAGGGAGTATTAGAAGCTGTGGGGTATCTCCCCCCCAAACCCAGGGGTTACAAGGGGCTAGGAAGTTCTGGGAGAGGAGAGTACCCTATCTGGAACCTCCTGTCAAGGTTCCAGTCTGTCCCCCATGGGTCAACTACCATTGGAAGGTCTTAGCCAACTCACCTCAGGGCCCACATGCCCCCTGCTTCCCCCATGGGCTAAACCCCACCCCAGGCTATGGCCTCTGAATTGCAGGCTGGTGAACATGCAGTCAGAGGGCCCTCTTGCTCACCTCTCAGTGCCCACAGGCACTTCCATCCCACGCCACCGGCATAAACTCCTCAGACTCCTCGCCAAACTTGCTCCCAGTGACCACCCATGCCCCTCTCTTCCAGGTTTACAGGGCAGAGTCATCTGACACCTTCTCCCTACACCAATCCATTAAAGCCTAACAAATCTACCCCTACTCTCTCAGATCCACCATTTCTGTCCAGCCACAGCCACAGCCACAGCCACGGCTAAACCTCACCCCGGGTTCCCTGCTGTCAAACCTACCCCCACCCTATGCTCCCTGGCAGCCAGGAGGAGCTTGTCCAAACAAATCTGATCATGTTACTTGCCAAGGTTTCCTGTGTTCTCAGAGTGAAGCTCAGACTCCCTGGGACTCCGCAGCTTTGCCCTTGGTTCCTGCCCACACGCACACATCACCCTCTCACTGCACCACCTTACTCCTTACAATATCTATGCTGGCTGCGCTGCCTAGAGTGATCTCTTCCCCCTTCCTCTGGTCAACAGCTGCCTGCCCTTCAGGTGTCAGGAAGATCACATCCCCAGATTAGGTCTTGGCCCTATTAAGCTCTGTTTGCTGGCACAACTCATTCAAATTGCAATTTCACACTCAGCTATGCAGCTGCCTAGTGACCGTGTCTCCTCTTCTGGACTGGGCAGGGTCCCTGAGTGGTTGTGCCATTGTGGTATTGCCGTCCAGCTCAGCCCACCATCCCTTGAGGGGACCCAGAGAAGAATGGACTTGCCAAGGTTCCTGCAATCCAGTGTAAACTGACTAACACCTCTGAGGCCTGTGATAGGAAGGATGAGAAGAGGAGGGCGGCAAACACCGCAGTTCTTATTGCCTCTCAGAATAGCAGCACCAACCTCCTCTTGGCACAGTTGGGGAGACGGAGGCCCAGAACAGGAGGCACTGGGCTAGGGTCGTGGGGCTAGTCAGAAGTGGAGCTGAGCCTGGGATCTAGCCCTCCATAAGTCCAGAATTCTGTCCTGAGCAGCTTCTCACTCAGCTGAAGGTGCAGCCAAGGAGAGCTGGGAGGGGCCTTAGAGGGGGAAGTCAGGTGCCACATCAGCAACATTGCTGATGGTCTTGGGAAAAGCACCTGTCATTCTATTATAGCAGGGGCCTGTCTGAAAGGTGTAACAACCCTTATCTTATAGATGGGGAAACCGAGGCTCACAGGGTTCAATAGCCCGAGTCTACAACCTGGGAAGATGAACCAGGGACCATTGAGCCCTGTAAGCAATGCTCCCAGGGCCCAGTCAAAAGGGCACAGCACTCTGCCAAGGGAACCTCAGAGGCTTTGCCCACAGCTGCCCAGCTGGCAGCTAGGACTGGCCTGGTCCTGTCTGGGACCAAGGAACCTGGAGCAACACCTGAGGTCAGAGGCTGAGCCCTGAGCCAGCCAGGTCAGCTGACAGGCTAAATGAAGTCACAATTCACAACCAAACAAAATGAGGCAATTCAGTGTCACACAGCACATGGCCAGATGAGTAGTAGGAAGTCAAAATATTAGGTCAATAGGTTGAACCTTGTGAAACTGCCATTTTTTTCCAGATAAAAGAGTTAAATATTGGCAATATATGATCCAGTGTAATAGAAAATAGAAAAAAATACAAATGGTAGGGTAAGTATGTTACTCAGAAGTGCCAGAAGACATGTTAGATCTTAGGGAGCTATTCTTTTTGTTTCTAAGCCTTAACTTTGTAATCTGTATACATGTACCACCTGGATAAAATTTCAGTTAAAAGCAACCAGTCAATAAATGATTGAAACAATAAGTGAACAGGGGAAAGAGACGAATCTTCCTGCCAGAAGAATCCCAACAAGCCATGTGGCTACTGCCCCCTCCCAGAGGTGGAATGGCTGGTTGCCATTCCCCACTTGCTTCTCTCAGGGTGACCTAAAATTAGTGACTCAGGAGCTTAGGCAAGGGAAAGGGAAGAAATCTGGCCGACACAGACACCGACACCGACACCGTATGCAGAGCTGCAGGTTAACAACAATTGAGATCCTGATAAGGCACAAGTAGAAGGGCACCACACCTAGGATTCTTTCCAGAAACCCATGACCTCAATTTAATTGTCAGACAACCTCAACTTGGGGAACATGCTACAAGATGCCCAGCGAGGGCTCCTCAGGGACTGTCAAGGTCATGAAAAATAAGGAACATGGAGAAGCAGAGCAGAGGACATGTGGAGACATGACGCTTAATCTAACATGGCCCCTGGACTGGGTCCCAGGAGAGGAGGAGAACATGCCTGGAGGAACTGGGGAAATCTCAATCAAGTCTGGATTTAGCAATTAATGATGTACCAGAGCTAGTTTCTTAGTGTTGACAAATGTACCATGACATTATAAGATGCTAATGACACAGGGAATTGGGTATGGAGCTTATGGGAACTCTGTACTGTTTGTAACTTTTCTTATAAGTCTAAAATGATTCCAAAATAAAAAGTTTATATAAAAAAAGCAAAGGGGCAGGCATTTGGCCTAGCAGTTAAAACAGCAGCTGGAATGCTCACAGCCCGCTTCAGAGTACCTGAGCTGCATCCTGGGTCTACTCCTGGTTCCAGCTTTCTGCCAGTGCAGACCCTGGGAGGCAGCAGGTGATGGTTCAAGTAGTTAGGTCCCTGCCACCCATCTGGGTGAGCTGCACTGAATTCCTGGCTCCCCATTTCCAGCCACTGCAGGCATTTGGGGGAATTAACCAGCAAGTGGGAGCTTTCTGTCCCTCTGTCGCTGCATCTCAAATAAATAAGGAATAAAATTTAAAAATCAATGAACTGGTACTCTATGTAATGACATGAATCTCAAGAACATTTGAGTGAAAGAAGGGCTCAGCAATTGTGAAAGTTTGTGTTTTTCTGTATATGTAAAATTTATGTAAGAAAAAATATTGAATTCTAGTTAATGATATACATGCTGAAATATTTAGCAAGAAATATAATGATGTCTGCACTTTGATTTGAGATACATTAACAAAGTAAGATGGGCTGATCAATCAAGCACAGCCCAATGTTAAGAGCCCACCGGTTGTGATGTGTTCAATGTGAAATCTCCCAGCATTACTATGCGTGAAGATTTGCATAATAAAGGGGGCAAGGGAAGAGCCCTAGGGCACACAGTCCTGAGGGTCCTAAGTCCTGGGCGAGGCCCTGCCCCTGGGTGGAGGGTCTCATGCTGGCCTGGAGCCTTGGCTCTTTCAGAGGGAAGCCTGCAGCTGGGGGCAGGCTGGCTGAGACCTGGGCTTTCCGTATGGACGGTGGGAAGGGATTTCCCAGAGGCCCTAGGATTCAGCCAACACAGCAGTTGCAAGACCCAGGGTGCCTCTGCCTAGACTGTGCAGGGGCAAGTTGAGCAAGGGGTAGTGGAAAACCTTGGCCAGTGAGTGGCTGTGTGGCTCTGTGGAGGGCATCTCCTGTCCCCTAAGCTGCATTTGCCTCCTGTGTGAAGAGTGCTACGCTCCAGCTCGTTACCCACAATGGTCGGACCTGGAGGCTCAGAACATGTCAGGCCTTCTGGGACCTGTTCTTGAAGCCGCCCCACCCCATGGGTCTGGGCTTCCATCTCTCCTATCAGTCACCAAATCCCGTCAACTTCTCCCTCTCACACTTCCTCTCAGCCCATTTTTCTCCCTCCCCCAGCCTCCTCTTGCTGGAGGTCTCCCTGACTTTCCCTGGCTCCTGAGGGATCCTCAACACCCACCCACATGTTGCTCCGACTTGGCCCTCCAGGGGCAGCACAGTTTGCCCCAGAAGTCTCCCCTAACCTCAGACTCGGGTATTGACCCCTGAGGTGAAATCACTTCTCACAGCCTCTCAACTAAATGGGGTGGCATCTGACCCGACACAGGGCTGGCACCCTGGGCACTGTTTGCTGTTGTCCACCCTCTTGGCACTGCCCTTCTGGAAGGCTCAGTGGGATCCCATTCCCCAGCGGCAGCTGTGAGGGCTCCAAGACTGCTCCCCTCTGGGCATGAAGAGTTCACCAGGAAGCTGGTAAGAGGGTAGCAGGGACAGGGAGGGCCAGGTCAGAGATGGAACCACACTGTCAGAACACACCCTGCTGCGGATGGGAAAGACGAGACAGGAAATGAACACTTTCTAAGCACCTGCCTTAGGACCTTTAGCAAAACACTTGCCAACGTTCACAATACTCTTGGATGGGGCTAGTAGTCCCCACCGACACTCAGAAGCTCCAAGGGTAGGGGTCTTACCCAGGGCCACATTGCAGAGTGAAGTGTCGGGTGCAATGCCAGTCCCGCCTGAGGCCTAACTCTGAGTTCGTCCCATCGTCCATAGCCTCTCAGGGCCTGCACCCACTTGCATGGGTCCTGCTACATGCCAGACCAGGGATGACACTTCACAGAACTCCACACCCTGTCAAGGCTCCCCCCGCCCCCACAGCGGTCATCCAGCCTAGAAGAAAGGTTATTACTTTTTATGGACAGAATGAGCATGTGGGCCTTCCAAGTCAGTGAAAGTCATTATTCTAATCCGTCTTGACTCTCCTGCAGGTCGCAGGATAGTGGCCTTGGGCCTCTGAAGAAGCAGGTGCCATCACCCAGGCATGTCCTGCTGACACCGAACAGCAGGAAACTGAGGCCAGAGGTGGCTGGTGAGCAACTGCAGGACTGAGGGGCCCTGGCACAAGCTGCCAACCCCAGCCTGAATGGAGGAGACAGCGCTCCACCTGCCAGCTCTAAAGTAGTGAAAATACTGGACCTCACCTTTAGGGGCTGCAGGGTCACAAGTTAAACCCGAAGCTGGGGGTACAAAGCAATGGTCACCCACCTGGCATTTTTCTTTTTACCAACAGCTCCTTCTTCCCAGCTGGAATCAAGATCTCATATTATCTGGTTAGGAACCTAAAGTGGTTTTTGTGGCTTTGTGTGTGTGTGTGTGTGTGTGTGTGTGTGTGTGTGTTTTAGAAGCAGAGACAGAGAGGGAAGGGGTGGGGGTAGTTGGACTCTCTCATCCTCTGGTGGAAAAGGTGGAAAGAGAGAAACAGCATGTATTTCCACCCACTGGCTTACTTCTCAACTGCCTATAAAGCAAAGGGGCTGGGCCAGGGCCTAAGTTGGGAGCTGGGGAATCAACCCAGGTTTTCATGCAGGCAGCAGGAACCCAACTACTCGAGCTATCACTTGCAGCCTTCCGGGTCTGTACTGGCAGGAAGCTGGAGTCAGAAGCTAGAGCAGGAATCTGAACCTATGTACTTGGATATGGGATGCAGGAGTCTTACCTGCCAGGGCAAATGCTCATCCTTACATCGCACTACAGCTTTCCCCATCAAACTCCATACTGAATCCTGAAAACCACCCTCCCGAGTTGAAGAAACTGAGGCTACCTCCACCTCCTCCAGGTTTCCAGTCTCCTCCCTGTGCCCTGGATTCCAGACTCACCCCCCTCACCTCTTCCCGTCTTGGCAGAGCACGGTTTTCAGAGCAGTAATCTGCCAAGATCTGTACTCAGCTTAAAGCCAAAGGCTCAGCCTGGACCTCAGCACAGCAGGGCCCCATGGGCCATGGGGCTCCACAGTGCTGTCCTGAAATGGCCTCACTCTTTATCAAGTGCCACAGCCAGTCCTACAGAACGACTGGCTGCACACGGCACTTCTCTCCCTGTCCTTCTCCTCTCTCTACTCTCCCCTCTTTCTGTCCTCCCCCACCTCCAAATCTCTTTAGAACTTGCTAAGATCCATACTTCCCTCAGCACTCCACTGAGCTCTGCACACTCCGTGCCATTCTGACCCCTTCACAAATGAGCGCGTCATGCTGCCCGGTCCTGTTTCCATTCCGTTTTCTCTCACAGACCATGGACTCCTTGGAAGCAGGAATAAGTCTCATTCACCCCAACAGAGTTCTTGGCACATGGTAGATGCAAATTAATATTTGTAAATAAACTCTCCAGGAGTTACAGGACTTCCTGCAGGCCAGTGAGCTGGACAGGCAGGAACTGCTGTGCGCCGCTGTGCAGCCTGGGCTTCCAAAGCCTGGCCTTCCTGCTGGCCTGGCCTGCTGTATCCAGCCTGGGCTTTTCTAGTCACTCTGGCTGTTGGCAGAAGAGCCTGAGACAGACTTGGGATGCTGACCACTGGAGAGACAAAGGAATGAACTAAGACCTTGACAAATTGCCACCAGTTGAGGACAGCAAAATAAACACGCACAACCAGCCGATGAGGGCAAGGCCACAGGCAACAAATGTCCAGAGGCACAGACCTTCCCACACACAGACCAGGGATCTTGCACCCAAACACAAATGGAGGCTACACACCACCCAGCCATGGATGACCCACCCTGCATGTCCCTGAACATTTCCTCACTGGTCCCATTCCCCAGAATGACAGCAGGCCAACTGAGAGGCAAGGCAGGAGACGGGAATGGGCTTCATTCCTATGGGAGTGAATCAGCCAGTCCTGAGAAGGGCTTGGAGGGCTGGTGCCTGTCTCCTGGAGATAGAGGCAAAATGGCCACGGCAAGGCCTGCCCTGTGTGTGCAGGGTGTGCCAGGCAGGGAGGAGCCTGGCCCCTCACAGCAAGGAGGCTGCAGCCTGTGGAACGCTGTTCCTGAAGTTGCAGACCCTGCTTGGCCGGCGAGGAGTCTGCTTCATCCACAGAGCATCTGAGCGGGGTTCTCAGAATTACCACTTGGGTAAGAGAGGAAGGGGCCTTTTTTTTTTTTTTTAATAAATGTGAATTTACAAAGTGCAACTTTTGTATTGTTGTGGCTCCCGCCCCGCAACCTCCCTCCCTCCCGTGGCCCTCCCCTCTCCCACTCCCTCTCCCATCCCGCCCTGAGGAAGGGGTCTTAATCCCAGAGGACCTTTCACAGGCCCAGGTCTGATGGAAACAGACAGGAATTGGAAGGTTAGGCCTACAGAATTGTGTTAATCATTGGTCATAGAAAATAGATTCGGATCCCAGCTCTTTGCGTTAAGTCATCAATAATCACTAGATATTCTTGATGTTGTCAGGACACAGCTGTGGGGCCTGCCCTAATGGAACCCATGGCCTACTAAGATGATGCAATAAACAAGACTGAATAAATAGATCCTTTTACTAGCTTTGTGACGCCCTTCTAAGCCTCAGCTTCCTTATTTGTATCAAGAGACATTAATAGTGCCTCCCTCAAAGGCTCATTAAGGAGATTAAATGAATTCCTTCTAAGAAAAATCACCTATAGGGATGTAATAAGGGGAGCAGTTGCACCAAGTGTGGTGGATCCCATATGCAGGACTTAAACAAAAAGGAGGCTCCTCTGTCATACATGAGCATGGAGAGATCATCAAGATGTCTTATTGAAAAGTCACTTTAGCCGGCACCGCGGCTCACTAGGCTAATCCTCCCCCTTGCGGCGCCGGCACACTGGGTTCTAGTCCCAGTCGAGGCACCAGATTCTGTCCCGGTTGCCCCTCTTCCAGGCCAGCTCTCTGCTGTGGCCAGGGAGTGCAGTGGAGGATGGCCCAAGTGCTTGGGCCCTGCACCCCATGGGAGACCAGGAGAAGCACCTGGCTCCTGCCATCTGATCAGCGCAGTGCGCCGGCCGCAGCGCGCTGGCCGCGGCGGCCATTGGAGGGTGAACCAACGGCAAAGGAAGACCTTTCTCTCTGTCTCTCTCTCTCACTGTCCACTCTGCCTGTCAAAAAATAAAATAAATAAATAAATAAATAAAAAGAAAAGTCACATTCATCACTGTACCAATAATACACACCACACACACACACACACACAAAACTTTTCTAAGAGCATATGCAGATGATTAGGGCAATGAACAGAAATCCAAACACATGATCCAGAAGATTAAAGGGACCACACAGGGCTGGCCCCCAGTAAACTCCCTTTAAAAATGAGCTCTTATCAATAATAATTTTCCTTGTTTTTAAACTGAATTACAGTGAATGGGACATTTTATCTTATTCTTTTAAAAAAGCTACACTTAAACAAACTCCTTTATGTTTACATGTAATCTTTGGTTTTTGCTTCTTGGCTTTGCTTCTACTGATCACAGACCCACAAAAGAAAAGGGTGTAAAAAAAAGGAGAAGAAAGGAGGAGGAGTGGAGTTAGCTCTTCTCCCCATGGTTTATGCGGCTGACTGTTTCTCCAGGACGTTGCCTCGGTGTCTCGGCTGCCTCTGCTGCTTCCCAGGCTGACACAAGATCAAGGCACTGTTGAGCCTTGGGTAGTGTCCTGGGAAGAGGGGATTATCACCCTGGTTTTTGAGACTGGGAAATCATAACACCAAGAAGTTAAATCACTTGCTGCAGGTTACACAGTGAGAAGTGAGGGAAGACACTGCGTCACCATCAGATCTCAAGTGCTCCTCCTCCCTCTCATATCCATGCTCACGCACATCCATGGATGCTCTGTGTTGCCATTTCCTGTTACCAACGCTGAGGCACAATCCTAATTAGCAAATGATCTGTGCCACATGCTGAAACATACTTAAGGACTACCGGGGAAGGGAGGGGACTTAGTGTCTGGCTTATCAGCTAGTGTAACTCAGACCTATATATAATCCGCTCTGTGTCAGGGCATGACACTGATCAACTTAAACAGAGCAAGACCTGGGAAACAATCTAAGCCCAAGATGTTCTCCACACTTGGCTCTTGATTTTGGCAATGATGGTCTGGGTTCTGGACACATGGCTGAAATCTGGACTCCAGGACAGCTCTGACCTGCTCTACACAGGGAGGGAAGGGTGAGGCCTGCTGAACAGGAGGCACCTTCCCAGCTGGAAGTGCTCAGAAGACAGCCTGTGGAACTGAGACATGCCCCTGAATGCCACACACCTCAATGAGAGCACTGACTGCGAGTCCCATGGAAGCAGAAGCTGGGCCTCGGGGAGCAAGTGTCACCATCTGACATACTGCTTTAGCGATCTGGAAGCGGCAGGAGCAAGGCCCAAAGCCAGCAGCCCTGAGAAGCATTTGACCCAACAGAGCTATCTGTGACTCACAGAGCTCAGGCCCAAGGAGGTCAATGACACAAGTGTGCCAGATGTCTGAACAACGTGCCAGCTCAGGGGTCACTGGACAACTCTTGCCGGGAGACCTGGGGACTGGGATCTTTGACAGTATCTCCCAAAGACATAAAACACATGCACTCCAACCCAGTAAATCTCACAGCCTGGAATCTATCCTGAAAAACACGCACATGTGTGCACAAGTACGTGGAGGGATGTGCAAAGCTCTTCCTTAACCAGGAGTAAGCTCAATGCCCATTGACAAGGCTTCCCTAGCTAAATACATCATGGTACGTCCTAACCATGGGCTGCCATAGCACCATTAAAAAACAGCAAGTCCTGTTATATTGATCCGGCAATCCCACTACTGGGTATGTACCCGAAAGACGTGAACACTTCGTATCAAAGAAATATCTGCATCACTGCTCACAATAGCCAAAATATGAAATCGACCATCATGTCCATCATCAGATGAATGGATAAAGAAAATGTGGTATACATACACAACGGAATATTATTCAGAAAAAAAAAATTCTACCATTTGCAGCAAAATGGACACAACTGTTGAGTGAAATAACCCAGACACAGAAAGACAAATACTGTATGTTTTCCCTTATATGTGGGAACTAAAATTAAAAAAAAGAAAGCCCTGTGTGTATCAGTATTGTTGCAAATATAGTTTGTTTTTTTTTAATTTTTAATTTTTATTTCTATTTTTTTTTGACAGGCAGAGTGGACAGTGAGAGAGACAGACAGAGAGAAAGGTCTTCCTTTGCCGTTGGTTCACCCTCCAATGGCCGCCGTGGCTGGCGCGCTGCGGCCGGCGCACTGCGCTGATCCGATGGCAGGAGCCAGGTACTTATCCTGGTCTCCCATGCAGGTGCAGGGCCCAGGCACTTGGGCCATCCTCCACTGCACTCCCTGGCCACAGCAGAGAGCTGGCCTGGAAGAGGGGCAACCGGGACAGAATCCGGCACCCTGACCGGGACTAGAACCCGGTGTGCTGGCGCCGCAAGGTGGAGGATTAGCCTATTGAGCCGTGGCACCAGCCTGCAAATATAGTTTTTTGAAACTGTTTTTTTCATCTTTGTCAAACTAATGATAAAGAATGTTATACTACTAGTATAGTTTTAATGACCTGTGATTACTTTATTATTTATGGATGAAATGGTCATTTTCCATTCAATTATTGTTTATAGCCACTGTATATTCCTATTAACTACAGTCTTTTTGCTTTTTACGTGTTAAACTTCTTATTTGGTGAATTATTAAGCCTTTTTACTGTATTTAAACTTAAAGTATGTTATCTCAAAAACTAAAAAAAGAAAGGGTGAGAGGGAGAAAGGGGGAGGGTGGGAGGAAAGGAATACCACATGTTCTTAGAATTATATCTATAAGCCATATTTAATGTTTAAAACTAATTAACATTTTTTAAATAGAAATAGATGAAAAAAAAAATATAAAAACCAACAAAAAATCCCAAACCCAGCAAGTCAAAGAACAGTAGTTAGAGTAGGATGCCATTACATATCTGAACTGAAAAGCTCTCCACTTCCAGCTGTCTGTAAATCACAGAGAAAGTCTGCAAAGACACAAACCGTAGTGAACACGGGGCAGAGAGAGAGGATGGAGGCTCAGACGGAGCTTTATTTTTTATTTCATATTCTTTTATCTTGTTTGTTCTTTCTCCCAATGATAATGAATTCATGTATTACTTGTGTGGTTAGAAACACATTTTACCAGGGGAGGCATTTGGCCTAGTGGTTAAAATACCCACACCCCACGCTGGAGTTGCTTCGGTTCAAGTCCTGGCTCTGGCTCCAGTCTCCAGCCTCCTGCTAATGCAGCTCCTGGGTGGCAGCGGATAATTACTCAATTGGCTCTGTTACCCATGTGAGAGACCTAGATTGAGTTCACAGCTCCTGGCTTTGGCCTAGTCCAGCCCTGACCACTGGCAGCAATTTAAGGAGTGGACCAGAGGATAGGAGCTCTGTCTCTCTAGACCTCTCAAGTAAATAAAGTATTTTTTTTAAGTACACTTTACAAAGGTTTTTTAAGGTAAAAGAAAACCAAAAACATTTATTTGAAAGGCAGAGTTTGAGAGAGGTGGGGGGCAGGAAGAAAGAATATGAATCTTCCATCTACTGGCTCACTTATTAAATGGCTGCAACAGCCAGGGCTGGGCTAGGCTGAAGCCAGATGCCAGGAACTACAACTGGTTCTCCCGCACGGGAGGCAGGCCCAAGCACTTGGGCCGTCCTCCACTGCCTTCCCAGGCACATTAGCAGGGAGCTGCACTGGAAGCAGAGGAGCTGGGACTTGAACCAGTGCTCCAATATGGGAAACACCATCATAAGTGGTTGTGGCTCCCACAAAGACATTTTTAAGAAGAGACAAGAAAATGCTAAGAGTTCATCTGGTTTTTCTGTGTAACTCAGCTAACACACTTGATACACCTGCCTTTGGTTTCCACGCCCAATGCCAATCCCTCTTTTTCCAAAATTCCATTTATGAGACCCCTCCCTCAGAGAGGTAGCCACAGGGGAGGAGGCTCTTATCCACCAAGTTGCGTGGATACTTCAGAGTCACTGTAATTTTATTTCATGACTCAAACTTGAGACTCAAGACAACAGGCCACAGACTATTTCAGGGAACTTGCCAAGAGTTGGCCCAGGTCCCTCACATGCCAGTTATCCCTGTGACATAAGGAAAAGTAAGGCGATTCCAGCAAGACAGTAGAGCCAGGATAAACATTTAAATTCCTTCAGATATAAAGTTGTTTTTTTTCTTTTTCTTTTTTTTTTTTTGACAGGCAGAGTGGACAGTGAGAGAGACAGAGAGAAAGGTCTTCCTTTGCCGTTGGTTCACCCTCCACTGGCCGCCGCGGCTAGTGCGCTGCGGCCGGCGCACTGCGCTGATCCGATGGCAGGAACCAGGTACTTCTCCTCGTCTCCCATGGGGTGCAGGGCCCAGGCACTTGGGCCATCCTCCACTGCACTCCCGGGCCACAGCAGAGAGCTGGCCTGGAAGAGGGGCAACCGGGACAGAATCTGGCACCCTGACAGGGACTAGAACCCGGTGTGCCGGCGCCGCAAGGCGGAGGATTAGCCTAGTGAGCCGCGGCGCCGGCCCATGAAGTGAATCCTGAAGATGACTGCCTGCATGGACGCAGGTAGGACACTGCACATGCACCGTCAGTAACTGCCACCCAGGCGACAGTGGCTCCCAACATCCACGTCTCTCTTTATTGTTCACACACCAAGACGAATGGTTGGACTGGACATTAATCCTCCAGAAACGTCCACGCAGGGAACACCAGCCCCACCACTCTCTGACAAAGCCTGAACTCGCTTCTACATTCCCAGCAGCTGACTTTGGAGGCAAGGAGTTCCTCGGGGACAGTCACTGCCTCCTGGCCTTTCCAGTGAGCCGCTCCCCATCCTGTGCATCACACTGGGAGGGGCCTGGCTGTGCCCACGGCCCGGGAAACGGCACATGGTACAACTGATTTTCCCAAGGCCTCGAAGACAGGACGGAGCCTGACCTGGAAGAGGGCAGCACAGTGAATGAGAGAACTGCAGAGGAGGGTGGATGATGCCACGGGGGGTTTACTAGATCCTCTGCCCAGAACCTCGGAGAAAACTTGCTAAAACACAAATTCCTGACCTCATTTTCCAAACTGAATTGACATTCTGGCAGTGGGATCAGAGAATCTTCATTTTTAAAAAAACAATCAGAGCCATGCAGTTGTAACAATCACAACTGTGAGTGTAAAGGGTTCTAAACAAATAACAAGGACTCCGTGTGTTTAACAAGCTCCCCTGTGGATCGGAGGCTCAGGTTTCCCAGGTCAGAGGAAGGGCCACACTCTGTGCTGGCCACTCCTTGGTCTGTGACCCTCACGGCCTCCTCTCCACTACTCCCAGCCCACCACTGATACTCGACCCTCCTAACAGACCAGAGCACTTCTCGGCTTCCTGCTTTGCGCCTAATATCTCGGGTCTGGAAGCTTCTGTTCCTCCTGGCCCTGCTCTGCTGTCTCACTCCACGTACTCTCCAAGGCTACTATGCACCCCAGGCACCATCACAGACAGAGCCTCAGAAATCAAACCGTAATTGATTTCGGCTCCTGGCTCCTTCAATGACCTGGGGCAAGACAGCCTCTGTCTCCATTTATAAAAGAGGGAGGTGGGACTCTGCATGGTGCTCAGCACACGCTTGCCAGATTCAGCTTCTGTGTTCTTAACTCCCTCTCCTCTCTACCAGACTATGAGCTCGGTAGACTGTAACCTTGAGCGTGGTCTGGTCTATAATCCTTGGCAGGGATTAGAGACGGTGGGGGTGGGAGGGTAGGACGGTCCCTCTTCATGCAAAGCCCTAGGACACAGAACAAGGGCCTGGTGTGGATACCCAAGGCTGCAAAATGAATCCCTAACCCCATGCAGCCCTCAGCTCTTACCTGCCCAACATTGAAGGTCAGTGTGATGGCATAAAAGAAGTTTGAGTTGGCACTTCCTGCATAGATCCACAGGTGCCACAGGACAGGGAAGAGCAGGGAGCAGACGACAATGATGCAGGTGAGGACAAAGATGTTTCGCAGGACTGCAAAGACAGACGGTCACAGTTAGCCCAGTGCTCTCTGGAGCATCCTTTCCTTGCTGAGATGGCCCTGCAGTTAAAAGGGGCCCGAGGAAAGCTGTGTGCACCTCAGAGGCAGAGCTCCCCAGAGGCACCACAGGGCCAGGAGACAAATCTCAGACCCCCGAGTCAGTGGCTCCCCATGCTCACAGCTGGTGGGAACGCCTGGATTTGGATTCTTTCCTCTTACTGTGGGCTGGGTTGGCCCAAGATCTGCTATGGTTGGCAATAACCCGAGTGCCTCTGGTCATGGCAAACAGGGTACTTCAGGAGGGTACTGCCTCCCTCCCCAAAATCTGAGAGTGTCCAAGAGCAACTCTTCCCTTTTCCCCAAGCAGGGCGATCTGACCATGTTGGCTCCTGAGTGGGAAGTGCAGCACGAATCACGGAGGTGAGTCCCATAGTGAGTCCCATGGTGCTACAGTCCCGTCCTTAATGAGTGTTTCAGGTCCCCGTCTTGTTCTTCAAATGTCCCTCTCTTCCCTAGATGATGATTTGAACATCTTTTTGACACTCTCCCCTCTGACACCACTGTTGTGTTCTCAGAGGTGGTAGTGCTTCCTGAGGCCCAGGAGCAGCCCAGACAGCAGGTGGAGTTTGGATGGGCAGGCAGCATGCTGGCAGGGCGCGGACTTGGCCTCAGAGAGACTGTGGTGAGAAGTCCTGCTCGTCATTTACTAGCACTCTCTCTGTAACTGACTTTCAAATAAAGTAATTAAAAATCTAATAAATTAATTAAAAGTTTGTAGAAAATGGTGCAAAATGTTTGGGGCCATTTGGGGAGCACTTCTACCCGTAGGTTCACTCCCCAAATGGCCCCAACAACCGGGACTGAGGTAAGCTGGAGCCACAGCTGGAACTCTATCCGGGTCTCCCACATGGGTGGCAGGGAAACAAGCACTTGGGCATCTTCTGCTGCTTTCCCAGGCCATTAGCTGGGAGCTGGCTTGGAAGTGCAGCCGATGGGTATTCATGTACCAGTACTCATGTTGGATGCCAGCATGGCAGGCAGCAGCTTTACCCACTATGCCACAATGCCGGCCCCATGAGAAGTTTTTTTTTTTTTTAAAGATTTTATTTGAGAGGTGGAGTTAAAGTGAGAGGGAGAGACAGAGAGAAAGGTCTTCCTTCCGTTGGTTCACTCCCCAGATGGCTGTTACGGCCAGAGCTGCGCTGATCCAAATCCAGTATCCAGGTGCTTCTTCCTGGTCTCCCATGCTACTGCAGGGGCCCAAGCACTTGGGCCATCTTCTACTGCTTTCCCAGGCCATAGCAGAGAGATGGATTGGAAGACGGGCAGCTGCGACTAGAACTGGTGCCCATATAGGATGCCGGCACCGCAGGCAGAGGATTAACCTACTGTGCCACGGCACCGGCACCAAGAAGTATTGTTGTTATTACTATTATTGCTATTATTATTATTCTAAAGATTCATTTATTTGAAAGGCAGAGTTACAGAGAGGCAGAGGCAGGGAGAGAGAGAGAGAAAGAGAAGTCTTCTATCTGCTGGTCCACTCTCCAGATGGCTGTAACAGCTGCAACAAGCCAGAAGCCTGGAACTTCTTCCAGGTCTCCCACGCAGGTGCCGGGGCCCTACTTCCACTGCTTTCTCAGGCCAGAGCAGAGAGCTGGATCAGAAGTAGAGCAGCCAGGACTCAAACCGGTGTCCATATTGGATGCCAGCACTGCAGGAAGCGACTTTACCTGCTACACCACAGCACCAGCCCCTATTTTTGTACTAAACAATGTTACAAGGAGAACAATTTGTTTGCTACTCCTTCACTCTATCATCGTTATTTACATTTCTCAGTGGTTCATTCTGATCCTCTAGAAACTGTTTTGCTGAACATACGTGCTATTCCTAAACTAAAACTCTGGTGGCCTGATGGTCGAGGCGGCTCTGTGCTCCGTGGAGATTTCAGATGGGCACAGGGACAGGGTGAAGGGAGGAGACGAGTACGGAGATGAGAGAGGCTCACATGCAGCTTCTGGGCGGCAGAGACACATTTCCATGTGCTCAGAGGAATCGTCAGCAACGTCCAGTTGGCTTCTGGCCTGTGGTGACCTTTGCAGGAACAGGGAGCTGCTACTCTCTCTAGCTGGCTGAGAGGCCAGCAGATTAAGGCTAGACGCCAGAGCAGATGGAGCTGGGGACCCAGGGCACAGTACAGCTTGTTCCAGGCACCAGGAGGCGTCAGAGATGACCAGGGCGCAGTGAGACGAAAGCATTTACCCTTCATCAGACTTGCTAGCCCAGATGAAATCAGGTGCTTCCCACAGTCACTGGGTAGCTTATCCCACACTTCCAGCAAGTCAGTTTCCCTCTCTGAGCCTCAAGGCTTCAGAAATAAAATTTCACTTGAAAAATTGAGACCCACCAGGGGGAGCACAGAAGACATTCTGGGACTCCCAAAGGTCATAGTGATGTTTCTTTCTTTCTCTCTCTTTTTTTTTTCCTTAAGACTTATTTATTTACTTGAAGGGCAAAGTTAGAGAGAGAGAGAGAGAAAGAGAGAGAGAGAGAGAGAGAAAGAGAGAGAGAGAGAGAGAGAGAGACATATAAGGAGAGACAGAGAGAGATCTTCTATCTGCTGGTTCATTCCGAAATGGCTGCAACAACCAGGGTTGGGCCAGGCTGAATCCAGGAGCTTCTTCCAGGTCTCCCACATGGGTGCAGGGACCAAGCACTTGGGCCATCCTCCGCTGCTTTCCAAAGCACAGGAGCAGGGAGCTGGATCAGAAATAGAGCAGCCAGGACTTGAACTGGTACCCACATGGGATGCCTGCATTACAGGCTATGGCTTAACCCACTGCGCCACAGTGTTGGTCAAAGATGTTTCCTTCTTAAATTAAATGCCAGGTAATGTGAATTTACTAAACTATTAGTCTTTATCTGTAATTTGCATTTTCAGCAATTTTCTTTTATCTGTATATAACAGTTAATAAAAACAAACACCACATGCAGAGCACTTTGATGGCTGCTCTTTCAGCTAGATAGCTGTAGGCTGGCTGGCATTGGCTCTACCAGCAGGCTGCTCCCTAACACCACAATAGTGTGTCTGGGTGACTCATCCTGGCCCCAAGCTCCAGAGAGTCCAGCGTCTTGGGCCTACGCTCAGGGCAGGGTCACGTCTCTCTTCCACCTTATTGACCAGAACAGGAAAACAGAAAGGTAAATATGGAAGCAGGCCTAATAGCACTGACAACTAGTGTTTAAACTGAATTCCTACCCACATTAAACATATTCATTCTAGGCTTACAAATTTCTCAAAGTCTCCGCATAGGTCCCACAGATCAGGGCTGAAGATACTTCTGGCTGAGTGTAATAATCACCTTGTCAAGCCCCAAACAGGTACTCTAAGCATGCAGATTCCCTGCTACCCGACATGCTGAGCCTAAAGACTGCCGGCCCCACAGCCTGCAGGGACATCCATTACATCACCCAGTTCTGGAAACTCCATCCTTCTTCTTTGTGCCTCATGACGCCAGAGGGCATAAAATAGCTTATTTCAAGTTTTGAAAAATATGTTTATTCAAATTACTTTGGCTACCAAGCCTAAAACTTTGATCATGGAATTATGCAGGAAGCTTCCTGAATTATTACTACTGATGATAACTGCTCTGCTATTTTCATAATTCTTTCTCAAATTTAAAACATCCATTAAAGACACTCTCTTCATTTAACAGATGAAAAAATATCAAAGGCTCAGAAAGGTTAAATGATTTGCCTATGAGCATGCAGCAAGAAGTAGGAAAGCTAGGATTCAGACCCGTCAGTCTGTAGACCGTGGTCAGCAGTCCAAAAGGAAAGATATTAACTGAGGGAGAATGCCCGTGTGGGATTGACAGCCAAGAAATAAACATTCCAGTTTTGGGAAAAGAGAGCAATGTTCCCCCAAGACCCACCCTGTCACAAACTTGGGCACATCTATATGATTTGGTGGCCTTGTGATTTGTCACTAGTCACTCTGCCAGTGGGCACCAAGTTGACTCTCAGCTCACTAGACTGGGTGATTCTTGTCTGGGCAATGCAGATGTCACAGGCAGAAGACATTGCTTCCTGCTCCCAATCAGGCCAGACTAGTCCCTGTCCCACCAAGCTGTCACCTGCGGCAGCAGCACGCTTGGTCCGCCCACTGGGCTGTTTACCTGCACTCAGAGGCTGCCTGCTACAGGCAAGTTTTTTATTGGCAGCTGGCCAGTTTCACTTCCTGGTTGACACCCAGACAACCCCAAAACAACAACAAAGACTGTCTTAAAGTCTGAACCTCCTGAGTTCATTCCCAACGCCTACTCTGCACCCACAGCTGGCAAGGAAAGTTCAACAGCTCCCCTCCCTGTTCTGTTGTGGAGAAGCAGGCGGCGCTGGACGCTGATGGTAATGTTTAAAACATTAAAAACCCCTCCCCCAAACATCTGCTCAGGTTCGATCCTGGGTGCTGGGGACACAGAGGTGAGGAATCATCATATAAGCTGACCTTAGGAGAACCTCAAAACACTGAAAAGAACCATCACAGAGGACTGAGAGTCCGCCGATGGAAGCACTGGGAGTTGTGGGGCACAGAAAGGTCAGCGCTGAGACACCTCCTGAGGAGGGACAGGGAGAGCGAGAGGGGCCTTCACAAAGGCAGGAAATCTAGCGCCGTCCATCTGTCTTCCAAGAACCCTTGGTGCAGCAGGGTCTACAGTTGCACTATCCAATATGGAAGTTAAGACACACACGGCCCCTTAAATTTAAAATTCAGTTTCTCAGTCACACTAATGGCTACTCTGCTGAACTACACAGATAAGCGTCAGTTCCATCATCCCAGAAAGCCCAGACTGCATGAGGTAGAAGCTCAGAGATCTGCATTCCAATCTCAGCTCTTCCACTTACCAGTCTTGAACAGGTGTCTACCTTTTTGCACCTCCAATTTCCCATGAGGATATCTACCTCAAAGGCTGGTATAAAGATAAAATATCTAATGGATGTAACATTCCTTGAGTCACAGTGGCCAGTTACACAACAAATGTTCAATAAGTAGCAGTTATTTGTTATTATCATCACTGGTCCTGGGGGAAGGGTGCTGTGCCTCACGCCTCTGCCCCTCCCCTAGCGCTATCAACACAGCAAAGGCCCAGGAAATGTCTATGAGGTCCGCTTTTCTCTGGCTGTTTCATTCAGGGGCCTGGCTTATACAAGTGTGCCACTGGTGGGGAAATGCAGGGGTACTCACATCTGTAGAGATGGTTCCACACAGGGAAGAAGGCCATGTAGAGGGCTACATCCCCCACAGTCGGGTAGGACTTAAAGATGGCGATGATAGCAATCTGGATGAACATGAAGAAGATGGGGTGCTCCCTAGGGTGTGGGGGGTAGACAGACAGAGGTCAGCAACCAGACCTACTCCAGACACTCTTGACCCCCACTCCTTGAACCAAAAATATACCCCATTGGACCAGGCAGGGTCTGGCTCTGCTACACACAAGGCATAGGCCAGGCCAGAGATGGTGAGAAGGGCCAGCTCTGTAAACTCCAGAGAAACAGCCCCAAGTGATATTCCCATCAACAAGCCCCACCCGCCCCCCAGCTATGAGGAAGAAAACAAATGAAGTCAGCCTTTTTTATGAGGGGACTTAAATGATAGCTTGTTGGGGTAATTTGAAAGCCTCCCTTGCCTGAGGCCCCTATGACAACTGGGCCCAGAGCAGGAAGGGCCTCCTAGCCAATGCTTTTCCTTTGGATAATATGGTCAGTGGAGTCTGCTGGCCCTGAGTATCCAAAAAGAACTGAGGGCTACACAGAGATTTTCAGCATTTAGGACTGGAACTGGAGTTATCATTATCTTTAACTACAGTTTTAAACCAGTCATAAGTCATAGCAGTGGCTACCATCTACTGAAACCATCTACTGACAACCTCTTCTGCATCACCTCACACGATCTTCACAGTATCCCAGTCTCCTCTAAGCAGCTAATGCTTCACCACACTTACAGAGGTGCAAACTAAGGTCCTGAGATGGCTGAGCTCGTAAGCAGTGCCATGGCAGCGGAGCCCCTGGCTACCACCCACACTGCTCTCCTGAGTGCTTAACATGCTTCGCAGTGCTGGGAAGGGCCGGGGAGGGACTGGGGTGGGGGTGGTTAATGAGCTCAGTTTCAGTACTCCTCTGGGAGCTGATCAAGTACTAAAGGGAAGCTAACAGGAAGAGGCCAGATCCACGTCCTCCTCAGTGCCACCTGAACAGGGTGCTTGGGTGCTCAGCTGATAAAGGTTTTCAAAGATGAAGCTTCTCTGAGGCTACAATAATGGAACCATTTCTGGATGCTACACAAGTGCTGGAACCTCAGGAGCACGGTGAGGCACAGGGGGACGAGCGGGGATTCAGAATGGAGCCAGACAAACCAGGGCTGACTTCCAGCTCTACTGCTTGCTAGCTGTATGGCTCTGGGGAAATGCTTCCACCTCTCTAAGGCTGTGGGTTAGGTGTGATCACTTTTCAGAGAGAGAGAATGCCGCTGGGGTAGGGCAGGCTCAGCATGTGTTAGGTCTCTCATTGAAGAAGCAAGCTCCACAGAGAATCTCCTTTTTAGGGAAACCAGAAGATTGAGCAGAGCTCTTGAGTCCCTTGGATGAACTGACACTGGGCTGCTGACAGAGGACATCCAATCAGATCCACTTAAAAAAAAGTGATGCGGATAGTGGCAATCTGGACAAACATGAAGAAGACAGGGTACTCTCTGGGGTAGGGCAGGGGAGACAGAGACCAGTACAATCCCTGTTCTTGTCCAAAACAGTGAGTGGGTTTCAGCACCTCAGAGCGAGGCCAGGGGGAAATTTGAGGGCTGCAAATCACCATGCCTGCAGCCTGCACTGCCTATGACTCCCCACTGCTGGCCCTGGCCACAGGTACCCCAAGGTGGCTGAAGGCAGGAGCTCTTGAGCTGAAGTGCAGAACACCTGACAGCAGGTTTTAAAGGGCAGCTGTAAGGTCACAGGAGGTTAGGGGTCCACAAACAAGCAGCAGCCGGTCCCACCACTTACTTTAGTTTGATGGCTAAGGGGATGGTGTAGAAGAAAACGTTGATCTGAAACACACACACAAAGAAGAGGCTGAAGTGCTCAAACATCTCTGCAAAGAAGTACCAGAAGAGACCAATGTTTGGGGTGAGATCTGGAACAGAAAGTCTGGAATTAAGAAAAAAAAAGGGGGGGAGAGAAAAAAAGAGAGCAAAGTTATAAAGGGTCTTTTTTTGATTTTAAAGATTTATTTTTTATTTGAAAGGCAGAGTTACAGAGAGGAAGAGGTAGAGAGGCAGAGAGGTAGAGAGAAACAGAGAGAGAGAGGTCTTCTGTCCGCTGCTGTACTCCCCAAATGGCCACAATGGCCAGAGCTGCGCTGATCCAAAGCCAGGAGCTTCTTCCAGGTCTCCCATGCGGGTGCAGGGGCCCAAGGACTTGGGCCATCCTCCACTGCTTTCCCAGGCCACAGCAGAGAGCTGGATCGGAAATGAAGCAGCTGGGACTCGAACCGGCACTCATATGGGAAAACGGTGCTGCAGGCGGCGGCTTTACCCACTATGCCACAGTGCTGGCCCCTAAAGAGTCTGTTTTGTCATGTTTTCTCCTGAAGACTTTAACTGCTGGGCAGCCAAGGATGACTTTCTCCTTACAGAGAGCAGGCTGTGAAGGGCTCTCGAGGTTCCCCGGATGAAGGTAATTAATAAACACAAAGGCAGGGAATGATAACATAACAAATATTAGCTAAGCCAAACAAATCTGAAACGAAGCAGGAATTCACCTGAGAAATAAGAGACCAGTTCCCCTCTATTGCTCAACAGTTTTAAATCAGGAGATACCCAGTACTGTAACAAAGGAGGAATGGGGTTTTAAGTTAACACTCTTGAGTATTTCAAGACCTGCCTAGAAGAACAAGTTCAAAGATCTCATCTACCTCCCCACAGCAGGAACCAGAGGACTGAGTGCCTGAGGCTGCAGTGAGATTTCTGGGACTCCAGGACACCCTGGCAGGTTCTGGCTAGGATTCACAGGGTCTCCAGACCCCTTTTGAAAAATCAGGGTGTAACTGGGAAACTTATGTTAAACCAAAGATTGCTAAAATTTTGACTCTTTTAAAAACATGGAGTTTAAATTGGTCTCAATTCACAATTTAAAAGGGCAATGACTGGGGCATGGAGAGGGAGAGACACGCAACGGCTCACAGATCTCCCTGACCAAGGCTTCTACTCCGGGTAAGTCTTTGCTTCTTGCTGTGAAATGAGGTCAAGGACAGAATGTGGGGGCCCAGCAGAAAGCCAGGAAAAGCTCTTCACCAGGCATCACAAATTCCCACCCAAGGCAGAGCACAGAGAACTGCAAGTGACTCATTGCCATGCTCAGCCAGTATCTAACACAAGTCGGCAGCATGGAATCTCAAATGGGGATTTTGCCACTCCAGAACCCTTCCTTCCTCTGACAGGTTTAAATGTCTGAGACCATGGCTGTGGGCTTAAGGCCTGGGCAGTGCCCAACTCCTCAGTCTCCACAGAGAGTGGCACATGGAAATGTTTGTGGAATTCATGAATATACACTCAGGTAAGCCTGTAGCTCTGCAAACCCATTTGGATTTTATCTAAAGGATGACATACTGCAGGAGGCTTCATGTTAAAATTGTCAGGACCGGGGCCGGTGCTGTGGCGTAGAGGGTAAAGCCACCACCTGCAATGCTGGCATCCCACGTGGATGCTATTTTCAGTCTCAGCTGCTCCACTTCCAATCCAGCTCTCTGCTGTGGCCTAAGAAAGCAGTAGAGGACAGCCCAAGTCCTGGCTCCTGGCTCCTTGCTTCAGATCGGCGCAGCTCTGGCTATTGTGGCCAACTGGGGAGTGAACCAGCAGATGGGAGACCTCTCTCTCTCCCTCTCTCTCTCTGCCTCTCTGTAACTCTGCCTTTCAAATAAAATAAATAAATCTTACAAAGAACTGTCAGGACCCCCCTGCAGTACAGGAATATATCTCCCAATCAGAGACTGGTAGTTGCTTTGAATGTTCCTCAAGAGGGCTCATTAATCCCTCTGATCCACGGTGTGCACTGGCAGTGGTCCTCAAACTGACTTCCCTGGACCAGCAGGATCCGCAGCACCTGAAAACTTCAGAAATGAAAATTCTTGGTGCCTACTCTAGACCTACTTAATCAGAACCTCTGAGGCAGGTCTAGCAATCTGGGTTTTATCAAGTCCTGTGGCTGATTCTGATGTGCCTCAGAGTTTCAAGTCCATTGTTATACATGTTCCTTGTGGTTACTGTGCCTCTGATTCCAGCTGGAGCTACGAAAACCAAATTAGTGTCCACAGTTTCTAATGAGGTCATAACTTACATGAAGCCGTAGACTGCGGGAATGAAATCCCAGGAGCTGAGAAGGAAGAAGGAGAGGCAAACGATTACCACTAGGCTTCCCACATACATCATGGCATACTCCCACAGGAAGATCCAGAAGGCCTTGCTCTTCACTTTCACAGGTATGTACTGGCGCTAGGAGAGAAGGCAAAACGATACATTTAGGGACACTGAAGGTATTATCAGTTTAAACTTAAAGATCTTTCCTGCAAAACCATGCCATGATGCACAGCTAACAATTTTGCCATGGTCTTTCAAGAAATAAAAAGGATATAAATGTTTAAAAAAGGAGCATCCTCTGACCTCAGACCTGGTAACACCATTTCTATGTATGTATCCTGAAAACATGTTGCATGAGAAAAAAATGAAACATATTCACTGCACTATTGTTTAGAGTATCAAAAAAAAGTCTTCAAAAGGGAGACAAATAAATTATGGCATAATGGCATAATGATACACTATTTAGCTGGTTAAATAAACAAACAGTACAGATACCAACATGGAGAGACCTTAAAAAATATGAAGTTATAATAGAAAGTTGCTGAATAAGCCATATAAACATTTATATAATATTTTGAGATTATATTCAACAAATGCTATGTATCCTTCACAGATATATCTGTACAAATATATCTATAGGTATCTATATGACTTCATCTACATTTTCTAAATATGACAAATACAAATATGAAACTATGACAAAAATTTTAGTATCTGTTTACTCTGGATAGCAAGCATATGGCTATATATCATTAAAATTTAGAACTTGTTCTAAGAGAAAGAATACAAAATATAGTAAGAAAAATTAATTCGGGGTTGATGTTGTGGCTCAGTGAGTTAAGCCACTGTTTACAAAGCTGGCATCCTGTATCAGAGAGCTGGCTGCTCTGTTTCTGATCCAGCTCTCTGCTAATGTACCTGGAAAAGCAGCAGAAGATGGCCCAAGTACTTGGGCCCCTGTCACCCACATGGAAGACCCAGATGGAGTTCCTGGCTCCTGGCCTCAGCCTGGACCAGCTCTGGCCACTGCTGCCATGTGGGGAGTGAATCAGCAGATGGAAGATGGAAATATGGATATCTCTCTCTGTCTCTCTCTCCCCACCTCTCCCCTTCAAATAAATAAATAAATAAAATTTTGTTTTGAAGATTTATTTGAACGACAGAATTTTAGGGGGGGGGGAGGGAGAGAGGGAGAGAGAGACAGCATCCCAAATAGGTGCAGGTTCAAGACCCGCTGATCCACTTCTGATCCAGCTCCCTGCTAATGTACCTAGGTGATGCACCTAGTCCTTGGGCCCCTGCACCCATGTGGGAGACGCAGAAGAAGCTACTGGCTCCTGGCTTTGGCCTGGCCCGGCTCCAGCTGTTGTGGCCCTCTGGGGAGTGAACCAGCAGATGGAAGATCTCTGTCTCTCTCTGCCCCCACCCCCACAAGTCTGCCTTTCAAATAAATTAAAAAAAAAAAAAAAAACTCAAAAATAAAACCAATATAAAGAAATCATACTAGTAATTTGATATCTGCAGAAAAGAAAAGAAATGCAATAATTATTTATGATGAAATAACTAAAGGGCACTGTTGTGCCACAGCAGGTTAAGCCACTGTCTGCGGCACCAGCATTCTGTATGAGTACCAGTTTGAGTCCGGGCATTCCTCTTCTGATCCAGCTCCCTGTTAATTACATGGGTCCCTGCCACCCAGCAGAAGACACAGATGGAGTTCTAGGCTCCTGGTTTGACCTGGCCCAGCCTCAGCCATTGCAGCCATTTGGGGAGTGAACTAGCAAATAGAAGACCTTTTTCTCTCTTTCTGTCTCTCCCTCTAACTCTGCCTTTCAAATAAATAAAAAAAAATTTTTTTTTTTTTTTAAAAAGAGAACTCAAAAGAATTCAACGAAGTGGCAGAATATAACATTAACATACAAATATGTACAAATAAGAGTACATAGGGGTACAGAAAAACACAACTAATATAATAGGGAAGATTAAAAGTTAGAATTAAATTTAATGGGGCTGGTGCCATAGTGTAGTGGCTGAAGCTCCTGTGCTAGCTGTGCTATTCAAGTCCTGGCTACTCTACTACTACTACTACTACTACTACTACTACTACTTCTTTTTTTTTAACCAGGCAGAGTGGACAGTGAGAGAGAAAGACAGACAGAAAGGTCTTCCTTTGCCGTTGGTTCACCCTCCAATGGCCGCCACGGCCGGCGTGCTGCGGCCGGCACACTGCGTTGATCCGAAGGCAGGAGCCAGGTGCTATCCTGGTCTCCCATGGGGTGCAGGGCACAAGCACTTGGGCCATCCTCCACTGCACTCCCTGACCACAGCAGAGAGCTGGCCTGGAAGAGGGGCAACCAGGACAGAATCTAGCGCCCCGACTGGGACTAGAACCCGGTGTGCCGGCACTGCTAGGCAGAGGATTAGCCTGTTGAGCCGCGGTGCTGGCCTACTCTACTTCTAATCCCTGTTAATGTGCTGGGAGGGTAGCAGAGGATGGTCAACAGATTGGTTCCCTGTACCCAGATGGGGGACCTGGTTTCAAACCGTCCCAGCTCCAGCTGTTGCGGTCACTTAGGAAGCAAACTAGCAGGTGGAAGATCTCTGTTTCTCTCTAATCCTGTCGTTCAAATAAATAAATAAAATTTTTAAAAAAGTAAAAATTAAACATGAAAAGTGTAAACCGTATATAAGAAAAGTGTTAACACACTCCTAAAAAACAAGAATGTAGACTAGAACAACATCTATTCTTGTTCAGGATTCAACATTATAGATGTCTGTTCTCCCAGAGTTAATTTTTAAATTCAGTGCAATAATGTGAATACAATGAAACTGCCAACAATGCATTTCATGGTGTTACACGAGATACCGGCCTTCATATGGAAAGACAAATATGCAAGAAGAGCTAAGAAAACACTAAGGAAAAATTATGAAGGGGAGACTAGCCCTACCAGACATTAAAATATATTATAAAACCTCTATAATTAAAATAGTACATTAATAGGCAAGTAGACTATAACAAAATGGAAAGTCCAGCATTGAATCTACATATCACATATACACATTAAACCCACACACACACATATATAAACCCATAAACATACAATTTATTATATACAAAGGTAGCATATCACTGGCATAAAGAAGGATTTTTTTTAAAGATTTATTTATGTAGTTGAAAGGGAGAACAAGAGAAACAGATTTTCCATCCACTGATTCACTCTCTAAATGACTTCAACAGCCAGGGTTGGGTCAGGCCACGGCCAGTTGTCAGGAATTCCACCTGGGTGTCCCGAGTGAGTGACAGGGGCCCGGACACCTGGGCTACCCTCTGCTGCCTTCCCAGAGCATTAGCAAGCAGCAGGATTGAAAAGGGGCCAGTGTTATGGTATAGCATGTAAAGCCGCCACCTGCAATGCCAGCACCACATATGGATGCTAGTTTGGGTCCTGGCTGCTCAAATAAATAAGATAAATCTTAAAAAAAAAAAAATCCAGAGGCAATAAAAGACTGATGAAATCTGTACACACACAATAACTCACATGACAGAAACACCATATGCAAAATGAGAACATATGTATAAAAACATGTACATGAATGTTCACAGCAGCATTAATCGTAATAGCCAGGGATGGTAGTTTGGCCTCAGGGTTAAGATGCCTATTCTCATCCTGAAGAGCCTTGTTTAGATACCCAGCTCCAGCTCATGACTGCACCTTCCTGCTCATGTGGATCCTGGGAGGAAGTGGTGACACCTTAAGCAACTGTGCTCCTACCACTCAAATGAGACCTGGATTGCATTTCTGGCTCCCGGCTTCAGCCTGGCCATCATAGGCATTGGGGAAGCGCACCAATGGATGAAAGCTCTCTCTCTGCCTCTCAAATTAAAAAAATAAACAAAAATGTTTTAAAATTTATGATGCAAAAAAAAAAAAAACCAACTGTCTATCAGTTAGTGAATGTATACATAAAATATTGTAAATCAATACAATGGCATAGTAATCAGCAATAAATGGAATGAAAGAGCACACATTTGGTCCAGCATTTAAGACACGGGTTGGGATGCATTACATCCCACATAGGAGAGCCTGGGTTCAAGTCCCAGCTCTGACTTCTGATTTCAGTTTCCTGCTAATACAGATTGTGAGTTCCTGCCACCCACATGGGAGACCTCAGCTGAGTATCTGGTTTTGGCTTTAGTCCAACCCAGCTCTGGCTGAGGCATCTCGGGTGAGCCGGTGGATGGGAGCTCTCTTTCCATTCTTCTCTCTCTCTCAAAATACATCAAGCAAGCAGCAGGTACTAATAATACAAGCTATACTATACATGAATGAACCCTGGAAATACACCAAATAAAAGAAGCTGGTGACAAGAGACCACATATTATAGAAAATGTCCAGAATAGGAAAATTTATAAAAATAGAAAGTAGCATAGTGTTTGTCCAGGGTTGAGAGGAGGGGAGACGTGGGGGAAAACTGAAGAGTGACTGCTAATGGGTCAGGGTCTCTTTTCAGGTGATGGAAACGATTGTGGTGATGGCTATACAATTCTGTGAAAAATCTTAAAAATCATTAAACTGTAAACTTCAAACAGGTAAACTGCATGGTAAGTAAACCATATCTGATAAAAAATGAAAACTACTAGGAATACACCATAAACAAAATCAAAGTAAAACTGACAAGTAGAAGAAAATATTTGCAGACAAAAGCTAAGACTCCTGGTATATATCCTTTTAAATGGAGGGGAAAGAACCAAAGCCCAATCTAAAAAAAGACATTGGGGGTTGGGGGGGAGATGAACGAAGTCACAGACATGAAAAAATACTCAAACTCAGTCATATTTAGAGAAATGAAGATCAATACTGAGATGTTATTTCTCATGATCAGACTGGAAAAATCTTAAAATGAAACAAGGTATTCAGTTAGCAAAGCTGTAAGAAAACAAGCACTCTCAAATATTATTGGTGGGAACAGAGAATTTTGACAAGACCTCACAAAACTACATACACACTTAACTTCAGACCCAGTAATTTCACTTCTAGAAATCTACCTTGAAGATACACCTCCAACAACAGGAAAATGTTGGAAACAATCTGGATTCTTATACATAGGAGAGGGGCTGAAAAATTGTGGTATGTCAATGAAATGGAGTACTGTACACCTATAAAAAAAGAACCAGGAAGATCTCTATGTACTGATAAAAAGTAATTTTCAAGAAGAGAAAGAAAAAAGCAAAGCATAAGAAGCATCTATAGTACGCTACTCTATGTATAAGAAAGAAGGGGTATAAAACACATATTAATTGGTGCAAAAGGAATACAGGAAGGAAAAATCAGAAACTAAAAAGAATAGTTACCTGGGGTGAGACGGAAAAGGCTAGAAAAGAAAGAACAGGAAAGCAGAGATGAGGACGTAATGTGTCTTGAGACATGTCTTTCTGTACAGCTTTTAAAATCACAGTTTTATTTTTTAAAGAAAGATTTATTGATTTATTTGAAACTCAAAGCTACATAGAAGAGAGAAGGAGAGGCAGAGAAAGAGAGAAACGTCTTCCATCCTTTGGTTCATGACCCAGTTGGCTGCAACAGCTGGCGATGTGCTGATCTGAACCTGGAAGCTTCTTCCGGGTCTCCCATGTGGGTTCAAGGGCCCAAGAACTTGGGCCATCTTCTACTGCTTTCCCAGGCACATCAGCAGGAAGCTGGATTGGAAGAGGAGCAGCTAGGACTTGAACTGGCACCCATATGGGATGCGGGCACTGGAGGTGGTGGCTTTACCTGCTGTGCCACAGCACCGGCGCCTATTTATTTATTTTTAAGATTTATTTTATTTATTTGAAAGACAGAGATACAGAGAGGAGTAGAATCAGGGCAGAGGGTGTCTTCAATCTGCTGGTTTACTCCCCAGATGACTGCAATGGGCAGAGCTGAGCTGATCCAAAGCTAGGAACCAGGAACTTCTTCCAGGTCTCCCACGTGGGTGCAGGGGCCCAAGGACTTGGGCCATCTTCCACTGCTTTCCCAGGCCATAGTAGAGAGCTGGTTCAAAAGTGGAGCAGCTGGGACTCGAACTGGTGTCTATATAGGAAACCAGAGCTGCAGGCTGGGGCTTTAACCCACTACGCCATAGTGCCTGC